TGACATTTTTGGTCAGATCATTCTTCGTTATGGGGAACTATTGTATGCTTAGCAGCATCTCTGGCCCCCAGCCTCATCCCACCAAATGTTACAAACAAAAAAATGTATTCTCATAATCCAATGACCCCTTGCAGGACCCCTAGCTGAAAAAAAATCACAGATTTAGTCAAGTAAATACTTCACCTGGGACTTAACTTGCCTCCTATTACTTTATACTCATCTCTAATTCCACCTCCTCAATGAGACTTTCCCTACATAACCCGTCTAAGTTAGGATACTTCCTATACGTGCGGCCTCCCTCCCCATACGTTTCTTAACTATCACAGTGTATTTCAAGTGTGGACCCTTGGGCTCCTCAAGACTTTTGAGACTGTGAAGTTTTCGCATTCGTAGTAAAGTGATTAGTACTGCGCACTATATTGTGTATAATTCGCCTTTTTCCTTCTGTACTGCAATTTGCACTGATAGCGCTAACACCTTGGCACAAATCAAGACAGTGACAACAAACTGTACTGGCAGTCTCTGCAGTCTTCATCACCACATGCTTAATTAAGAAATAAAGAGCCAGTTTCTTGTCAGAATGCCCAAGAGAATGCAGTGAAAAGTTATTCTGACCTTCGAGTATACAAATATTTTTAACATTTTGTGTGAGAAACAGGAAGTATGTATAAAGTATATTCTAGACTATGACTGTATTAAGGAAAAGCACTGTATGGTTATTCAAACTATGAGTTAAGCTAGCTGCTTTTTTTGTGGAACATGATTTTTACTTGGAAGAATAACTGACAAATTATTCAGACATATTTGGCAGACATTTCCTCAAAAATTAATGAAATGTCTGTCATTTCAAGGAAAACAAGCAGTATTTGTAGCCAAATTTGAATTCTAAAATTTTAATATACCATGAATAAGCATAACCACCTGTTTACTGTACAAGACTCTCCTGATGTGATCAGTGGTGATATTTAAAAATGTGCATTTTACATATTGGATAGTGTGTCAACATTCTGAAGATCAGTACATGTCAGTGATCCAACATTTTCTAAATGACCAATGCATGTTATAAACTCACACAGGGGTAAAAGGTCCTCCTAAAGCACAGAGCATGAAAGTTCACTCATATGTTTCAAACTTCTAGGTTGTGACCAAGGAAGTACCAAATGTCAAATTCTAGTGTTGTATCAGTGAAGTGAAAAGCCTTTAAAATATTCCTCTCTAGCCAGGTGCAGTGGCCCATACTTGTAATTCCAGCACTCTGGAGACTGAGGCAGAGGATAGCTGTGAATTCAAGCCTAGTCTGGGCTACACAGTGAGACCTTGTCTTAAAAAAACCAAACCAAACCAAACTGAAACAAATAAAAACAAAGAAAAACCTCCTCTTTTTTCCATGAAAGGCTAGATGAATGGAGGGATAGATTGTATAGATATAAAAGGATAGCCAGCCTTTCATGGTCTATAAAAGAGGCCAGATTTTCATTATCTATTTAAACCAAAATAATGATGGACTGAATGCAAGCACATATGAAAAACCATCTGTCTTCTATTAAACCAGATATTAAATCTTTTCAAAACTTAAAACAGTGTCACTCTTTTCACTACATTTTTCATTGTGGATGACATGGTTATTCTTCATAAAAATATAGTATTTATGTTAACATGGTGCTATGGTTTGGATCTAAAATGTTCCCCTCTAAAGCCTCCTGTGGTCAGATGTGAGGTTTTTGGAAGGTGACTGCATGGTGGTGAACTATGCTCATCAGTGGAATAAGGACCCGATTGAAGGTGGGTTATTGAAGGCGGGTATTCTTGTCCCTGGCTCCTTCCTTCTCTCACTGCTTCCTGGCTGCCATGAATTAAGCAGCTTTCCTTGTCCATACCATTCTACCATGAGGTTTCTGCCTTGAAGCCAGTTCACCATGAAATGAACCCACCAGAAAATGTGAAGCAAGTAAATCTTTCTTCCTTTAAGTTTCTGATTGTGGGATTTTTGTCCCAGTAAAAGGAAAGTAACTAACATACATGGAAGGAGCATATTGCTTATAAATGAATAAGTACTTGCAAATTTCTTGGTTTTAATTTATAATTGAGTAATGTCAATAGATAACCCACTCGCATGAAGTTATTTCAGGTCCTTAAGAATATAAAAAGGGGGTCTTGAGACCCAAAGTTTAAGAATTGTACTCTATCATCACATCAGTCTGTTTTTAATATTTTTAAGCACTTATGACTACCTGAAATTCTTGTTGTATGTTTATCATCCATATTTCTCAATTATCATAGAAACCCTAAATGAGCAGAGACCTTTTCCATCTTAGTGAATACTATATCCCCAGTGCCTAAAATGTGACCCAACACATAGTAAATGTTCAATTAGTTTGATGAGGGATGAGAGTGTAGCTCAGTAGTAGAACACTTGTCAAGCATACATGAGGCCCCGGTTTCAATCCCTAGTACCTCTCCATCAAAAAAGCACTTACAGGGATGGGGATTTAGCTCAGAGGTTCCTACCGCCTGCCTTGCAAGTGCAAGGACCTGAATTTGATCCCCGGCACAAGGGGGGGTGGAGCACATACAATATTAGCTCGATGAACAGCATGAATTTAATGAGGAGGTAGCACATTGAGGCACAGATAAAAGAAAATATATCATTTAAAATTTATGGAACACACACATTATCCTTTCAGTGATTAGTGGTTTCAGGATAAGGATGAACAGAGGCCAAGGGTAGTCCAGAGCAGGCAGTTATCACTTTCTACTCTGTGAGGCCTGCTCTCCTCACATTACTTCTCTTTAGCTCTGTGCCCATCCCAGCCACATCCCAGTCATGGGTTTCTTGAGAACTGTAGTTGCCTCCACCTCATATAACCCTGTAGATGATCGTGACTGCTGGGTGCCTCCTACAACTGTAGATGTTCAATTCTGAGATGGAGGCTACATTATATACTTTTACCTTCTGAGCTCACAGATATTATTGTGGCTCTGTCAAATGTTCCCTTCTAACCTTCAGAGAACACTTCTAGTTTTTGGATTTTTTTCTTTCTTTCAGTACTGGGGATCAAACTTGGGACCTTGCATTTGCCAGGCAGGCATGGTGCTGCTGAGCTACATCCCTAGCCGCTATTTCTAGTATTTTTGAGACAGGCTCTTACTACATTGTCCACAATGGCCTGGAACTGGTCATCTACTTGCCTCAATCTCCCAAGTAGCTGGGATTACAGGTGTGCATTACCACAACTGGCGGGTTTTTAGTTTTGGGAGACAGACTCTTCATTTTTATTTTCTACCAACACTTCAGTAGGGCAGAAAAAGTACCTGAATTCTGTGCTTACATACTACTTATCTGACTCAGAAGTTCTTATAGAATCTGTATTCTTTTTTATAAAAACAAACTATTTTAATTAACGTGGTCTCCTAGTCCAAAGGGCTTTAATATCTGAAAACATTAAATAGAATGGTGAATTAAAAGAAACCTGGAGAATGCTAGGATCGGCCAGCAGCAAATATCAAAAGATTATGAAAAAGCAAAGAGAAAAATATAGACAGCAGAAATAATACCTCCTAGCCACAGAATCTGGGGCCATTTAGAGCAGGAATAACCAGACATATACTCTTCAAACTCACCAAATTGCATACATACTACACTGGAATATAAAAATATTTATAGTAATCTCAAATCAAACCATCGCAACATTCTATCAACGAACAAAGGTAAACTGTAGTCTTAAAACAATGGTAATAATCAAGCATTCTTTCACCTCAAGATGTAGAACCATTTCTCTAATAAAAGATAAAAGTGGAAGACATTATCAAATCAAACACTCATTCATAAACAGCAGGCATCTGGCCCACTGGAGTTAGGTACTGTGGTGGGCACTGTTGGGCCAGAAATGACATTACTGTTCAAAGGAGTTGGCAGTCCAGTAAGGGTGGCAAAAATACAAGACGAACACTATCCGGCTGAAGATGGAGGTAGTTCTGACACTTCTAAGACTGCTGACCAAATGGTACAGATTTGTTTAGTGGGCAAGGCTGGGACAGGAAAGGAAGTATTCTGGAAAACCACCTAGGAAGAGGAAAGGAGTAGTTTTAAAAATGGAGTTGATAGAAATGGAGGCAAGGGAAACAAGACTATAGGCAGAAACAACAAAACAAAGGCAGTATACTTGACAGTACACTCTACCTGACCTAGTACAGATTGGTGAGGCCTACAGACTAGGGGAGAAAAAGGAGAGCAACTTAATCACAAAAGGTCTTGTGTTGGCACAGTGAAGATGTAAGTCAGGGGAGATATTTTAAGAAGTGCAGTAAGAAGGTGATTGCTAAGATCTGCAGGAAAGATTATGAGGATCTTCTTGAAGAAGGGACCTCAGACTATTCATAAACCCTTTAGGAGGCAGAATATACAATATTTACGGAAAGTAATGTTTTAGGCGAGAGGGGGCAAGATATTAACACATAAAAATAAGGTATGGACAGTAGTGACTGGGTGGATGAAGAGTCGGCATAAGCAAAGAAAACCCATGAAAAATCAGGAGTGGTGTCCTCCCAGGTAGACCGCTGTTAGAAACACTGCTTTCAAGAATCAGATAAAACACCTGGAGACTAAAACACACTTTAAATAAACTTGAAAACTTCAACTGGAAAATGGATAAAAAAGATGGAAATGTGTCTATGAGATGGAAGCACAGGCTGGGGATTTGGCTCAGTGGTTCCACTGCCTGCCTTGAGATGGAAGCACAGGAGAAAATGTGTGTTGCAGTAGCAGCAGCAAATGCTACCTTTAAAACCTAGGGTTGGGGATGCAGCACAGTGGTAGAGCACTTGCCTAGCATGTGCTAAGCCCTGAGTTCAATGCCCAGCACCTCAATCTATCAATCAATCAATCAGTATTTTAAAAGGCTCAAGATAGAATTTATTGGCTTTAAAAAATTACTTCACAGTTTACCTTGTATTTGTTCCTAATTAAAAGATTTAAAGTATAAATAAAGTGAAACACATACCTTTTCTGCCTTTTTGTCAGAAATGTCCTGCTTTTCCAGAACAGCCATGCTCTCCTTCAGGTTCTTCACAATGTCTGCAGGAGATTTGTGAGACTTCCCAAACGGGAACGGCATGACGGCAACGACAGAGGCCTCTGCTGCACTCTGCCTGCTTGACCTGCAATGCAGCACAGGCTCATGTGAGCAAATAGTAGGGTCAACAGAAGCCGTATCTTATAAATCCTAGTCTGGGAAGAACCTGGTAATTACAAAATCCATTTTATATGACTTTCCAAAATCAGTAGCAACTGGGAAACCCAACAATGTGTGTAAGAAACGAGGACACACAGAGATGACTTACAATCACAGAACACTTTGTACCTTTAAAAACACTATATATATATTCTTTCTCTTTAAATAATCTCCTTCCCTAACCACCCATGAAGAGGCTTTTGGTGATGCTGAGGTGGGCAGCAGCAGCTACCACTCACAGGACAACTATGAACCTATGCAAAGCACTTAATTCATCATCTCTTGGTATCTTTTCAAACAACCCCCGAAGGGCACTACTTCTGCAATGTATAGGAAAAGTTAAGCAAGATATGTCTGGATCCAAAGTGTCCTCAATCACCACACTATGCTTCCAATTAACAGGGGTCTCAGTTCTATGGTGAGGATATAGAGGCAAAAAGCTACGAAGGCACTTAGCCCCAAGCACAGCAGGCCTCCTGGCCTGCTCTCTGCTAACACTCCTATCCAATGTCACAGCGTCTGTGCTGCTCCTCCTGAGCACCCCTGTGGGCTGCATCAACACCTGCAACCTTTCTCAGCATCTCCATTGTTCCATTTTGGTGAGCCCAGGGTCAGTGCTGGAGAGAAACTTGGATAGCACTCTGTGCAAATCTCCTCACCGACCTGAAAGGCTCTTCCATGCCACTTTCAACATATACTATTTCAGCCTGGATGTGACCACCATCAATGAAAGAACACACTGCATAAAATCCTGGGGATAATGAACTTCTGCAAGTTCTCATTTTGTGGGCAGTAGAAAACATTTCAGTCACATAAGCCACAATATTACATCATACAAAGGATGAGATACAACTATTCCAAAAATGGATGAACAATGGAAATGACTTGGGAACACATTGGAAGTTGCAATTGCTTTTACTAAATAAACTGAAGAACATCAAACTCACCAGGTGTGGCGGTGCATGTCTGTAATTTCAGTTACTCAGAACTTGAGACAGAGAATCCTAAATTCAATCTCAGCCTGGGCAACTTAATGAGATCCTCTCTCAAATAAAAACAAGGAGCTGGGGATGCAGCTCAATGTGAAGGCCCCGAGTTCAATCCCCAGTGCAACAAAAAACAAAGCAAAGCTAAATTCATAGGCATTAAAGTCTTGTATATGCTGGGCGTGGTGGCCCATGCCTGTAATCCCAACACTCGGGAGGCTGAGGCAGGAGGACTGCTGTGAGTTCGAGACCAGCCTGAGCTACATAATGAGTTCCTGGTCAGTCTCAACTACATAGTGAGACCCTGTCTCCAAAAACCAAAAACAAACAAACAAACAAAAAAAGTCTTGTATAAAATGCCAAAGATAACACTTTTCAGGAAAAATTTACAGATCACTTAGATAGTGGTTTTCAAACTGTGAATTTCAACCTCATACTGCCCTAAGGTAACCTCCCCCTACGTCCCCCACCCACGAACCAAAGTAGGAAGCGGGTCTCAGATACTCCAATTCTACTTTGGTTGTTTTCCCCACGAAAACATATATATTTCCAATACACAGCATCATGACATGTCTTTTGAACCTGGCCTAAAATTTCATTTAAAGAATTTGATTTTTCCCAGTAACATTTGAGATACAGTAACATGCATATCTATTTACAAAGAACAAATATTTAGGGGGGAAAGAGCACACAAGTGGATGTTAGTGATAAGCCTATAATTAAATCCTAAATCAGCATGTTATTTCTCCACGTTTTGATATGATCTGTTCTGACCAATCCCTATCCCCAAATATCACCTAACTCAGCTTCTGTCAATCTATGAATCCCTTTTCAGATCAAATTAAAACATCTTCATTAACCAGAGGACTTTAAACAGATGTCTTCCACCACATGTTCTCAAAATTCAAGATGCTTAAGTCCGTTTTAAAATATCTTTTCTAGTGACAAGAAGTTTGGGTGGCGAGTCACTCCCCACTGGTGTTAAATTATCTATCTGGCAGTATGGCACACAAATCTTCAATTAGTCTTTTCCATTACCTTTTGATGGTGGAGGTTTGGGGGACACATGCAGGCTGCTTCTCCATAAACACAACAGGCCATATTCACAGTAAGTTCTCTGAAAATTTTATCTTTCCTTTTTAAAACTTTGCAAATAAAAGCAGTGATGCTACATGTCAGGGCTGGGTGCACGGTGGGAATGTTTGATGATATTTTGTGGGAAGTGTTACGGTGCTATGCAACAGAGATATTTTGAGCTCTGGCTCAATTATGGAAGAGGTGACTTTACAAGGTAAGGAAGGCTTAAAAGGTTCCTACCCCACACCAAATGTTGGTCGCAACAGAAAGCACAGCTGCCAAAGAGAAGACACATACAAAATGCTTCTGTGAGGGAAGGGGGAGGCATGACGCAAACATTCCTCTTAATTCAAACACCGAGCAGCTAAGATTTTATAGAACATGTAAACTCAACAAAGTACTTTGAGGAAATAAGAGGAACACGTACATAAAAGAAGTGGACATTCCTTAGCAGAATTAATCACACCAGCAAAGTTATTCACGACAGACTCATATCTACCCCTCACTTTATAAATCCCTTTATGATTTAGTTGTAAGAAATATTAAATATTAGGTGAAATTATAGTTATTTTTAGAGTACAGTGAATCTCAACAAATTCTTTTATTTCACTTATTTCTTCAGTTTCACCTCTTAATATAGCTACTCAAAACTGGAGTGTGTGTGTGGGAGTAGATAATGACCCCTAAAACTTCTGAGTGGAGAATTTGTTTTTTATGTCTAGGTTTTTTTTTTAAATGTCTTGTGTTGCTGATTTACAATGAAAGAAGAAAACTAAAGGAGCTACTGAGGAAGAACCATTGTCTCAATGTACTTTGTCTCACAAGCAAGATGGGGGAATCATAGAAATGTTTTATATTTTAAAGATGTGGATCCCAAAACAATCAGTCACAGGAGTTGAAAGGTGTAACCTCTGGGAGAAAGAAATAGGTAGGAGTCTGGCATTTTTTTCTTAGAAGCCTTTTTGGTAACTATATGGCTCCTTTGATCATTCACCTGTATAACTTTGATAAATATAAACCCTAAATTTAAGAAAAATGGTTGGTAAAATACAACAATTTATCCTTAATACCTAAAAAGTACTATATTTAAAACATTTAAACTGAAGGCAGACTAAAGAAAGTGACCTTCCAACTTCAAAGTTATTTTCTATTTTATTCGATTCCATTTTTAAAAATACATGGGATACTACATAAATGAATCAGTAATTGGTTTTAGAAGATTTGAAACCTTTCAAAAAACAGGCTTAAAAAGAGGTAAGCTTCATGTTTCAATTCTTGCTTCAATCTCCTTACTCTAATCTGTACTCACAAGAAACAGGAGTTAATTCATTCACAGAACAACACATGATCTTCAGACATGCTCAAGTTAGAGCAAGGCACCTCACTGTATGCCCAAGGGGTTAAAGAAGACAGCTTAACAATAACAACAATCTGTCTGCCTTTCTCATTTATTCCTAATCACCAGCATTACTTGCTTAGGTAAGAATATGGAGGAATTCTGGGAAACAATCACAGCTCACTGATCAAGGATGCCCATCTTCAACAACTTTTTATTGTCTTAGAATAAAATCCGAAGTCCTGGCAGGGCCCTTTAGGCTTCACCCATCTCCAACTGACAGCCCAGCTCTTTGGTTCCTTCCCATCACAGGTGTCCAGTCATGCTGCTGTCCTTTCTGCTCCCCGAATATGCCAACTACTTCTCGGCCAAGTATCTGGTAAACAGTATTTTTTTTTTTTTTTTTTTTTTTTTGGTACCGGGGATGCTTGCATGGCAGGAAGCAGAACCACTGAGCTATAAATCTCCAGACTCCCTGGCAAACTGCAATTTTAAAATCTAGATAGTAGGCACACATGGGTTTTTCATTGCTAGTTTAATTTTTTCATGCTCAAAATTTTTCTTAATATTGTTTAAAACAGCTTAAAATTATGTTTTGCACATAAGTAGAGAGGGAAACCAGCAGAAATATACATTACAATTGAAAAAATTCATTTAAATTTCAAACATAACTCTTTTCCTTTCAAAATAGTTGGTTCATAACAAATCTCAGCAGGATGCCTTGGGCTGAGCCAAAACTTGTTTATACTGTCTGAACAAAGGCATTTACTGTCAAAATCCTCAAGGGGCAGCAGAAACCTACATCTATGCTTCCCAAAGTGGAGGTACACTTACTCTTGATGGTAATCAGGTATGTGTGCCTGAACCCCTAAGATAAAGAAGGGTGGGAGGGGAAATTTAACTTGACAATGGGAGAGGAAATTTATGTATTTAATTTTTATTTTTTGAGACAGGGTCTCACTATGTAGTTCAGACTGACCTGGAACTCACTATGTAGCCAGCCCAGGCTGGTCTCGAACTCACAGCGATCCTCCTGCCTCAGCCTCCTGAGTGCTGGGATTACAGGCAAGCACCACCATGCCCAGCTGGGAGAAGTAATTTAAAAGATTCTTTTAAAAAATATTGTCTTGGCATTATATTTATTTATTTTTGGTTTTTTGAGATAAGGTCTCACTATATAATTTGGGCTGGCTTCAAACTCACAGCGATCCTCCAGTTGCAGCCTCCAGAGTGCTGAGACCACAGGTGTGTGCCACCATACTTGGTTTAACATATGACTTTTATATTAAAATGAATACTTAGAGCACTGTGTGCTGAATCTGCCTAAAAAGAATCCACTGGACATTTGCCTTGCCCTAGTGTTCATGCACTGCTCTCCATTAGTTATTTTCCCTTCTCTAAACATTCTCCACGCATCCACCCACCCATCTATCCATTGTATTTAATTCAATGACTCTTCCAAGGTTGATGTCCTTCAAGACCTAGAATAGCAAAAGCCGTTCTAGGCAACAGAGACATGGCAAGGGG